CGGAAACAAAACGACTAATTTATGGGCCGTGATGTGACATCTCCACCTCCGACACCTGTCCTCATCTCGCTAGGCAAATCCCATCCCATTGCGCATCGAAGAACAACTGAAGAAAGGTAAAGCACGCAACCATAAAAGTGACACCCTCCTCCTATAAATGTTTACCGTCGCTGTAGATATAAACATTTATGCCGAAAGATGTTGACTAAGAGTAAGGGTAAAAGCGGTGGGACGGCAACAAACAAGAAGTGAGAACACCCACTTCTGGTGAAGCCGGTGTAACGCCTCCCTGCACATAAACAGGTGGACAAAAGTTAATCTCCAGAGGAATCGACCGGGATTAAAAGAGGCCAGGTATAACAACCACAAATCTGTTTACCACTTTACACAATTGCCATAAATTGGATTTACCGATAATATTTGGACGATTCCCAAGGGGGGAAGGAGAACAGGAACCCACTAACGCTAATCCATTCAGCATCATTTTTTCTTCCTCTTTCTTTTTTCCCTCTTCCCATGCAAACAAACAACCGCACTCCATTCTTTTCCTTCTGAAAACTCGTAATTTTCACCAACCATTCATAATATTTATATTTATGCACGCATACCAATGATTAATGCATTTCGCATGAATCTAAATATTTTCGTATACTGACCAAAATATACGGAGCCAACTTGCTGAGTGTCATAAATTCAAGTGGGATAATCACGAATCCCCATAAATCTATATTATTTCAATACATAATTTAGAGCTTCTTTAATTAAATCAATTTAGCACAAACATTATGCAGAATAAATCATTTCTCCATATTAATTTAAAACTATTTATTTATTCGATAATATAACTTTGAAATTAAAAAAAAACAAATTTTCTTAAAAAAATACATTTTTATCAAATTTACTAAGATTTAATATATATATCCGTCAACCCCTTGAATGTAATATTTGTCTTTGAGTGAAATATTAGTCAATATTTGTATTTCTATTGTAAAGAAAGAATAGGGAAAAAACTTGCGCATTGTATATAATATTTAAATAATTTAATTATAATTATTAAGTTTTTTTCATATTTTTCTATTGCAAACTACTGTAATAACAAATGGTTAATATTGTCCATTGGTTGTAAAACAAATTATATTCGTTTTTATTAATTAACAAGCATGGGTATTCATATATGTTTTCTTAAATTTAATCAGATACTTGAATCTGACACAATTCTAATTAAAATTACGTTGCGCTCTACTCGTCACATAACCATTTGCTTTCAAAATATACTCCAAATATGTGTAATATACATTTGTACATAAATATACCAAGCAAACTTGCTGAGTGTATTGAATTATAGTGGAATCATTTTTAAGTTTTTGTTAATTAATACAATTTAGCACTATTTTACTCGCAAAAAAATAATAAGAAGAAACCACGTCTTTCCACCCAAACAAAAAAAATATGTATGCAATTTAAATGAATTTGTTTAATTATGTTTACATAGAATATAAACGTATTTTCAGTTGTGGTAACAAATAATGTTTTATTTATTTTTATCCCAAAATTTCCATTAAATAATATTAACAAAAAAAAAAATATTAAAACTTGCAATATTAGTTTTTTTAAATGCGCTGTATGTTTCATAAAAAAAACGCATTAAATAGTTTATTACATTATTGTATTATATACTTATTTCAATTATTATTTCTTTATTTAACATATTTATTGGTCAAAAATATAACTAAAGACCAAGGAAAAATCTCTTATTTCATTATTTTCGTATATTTAATAAAATTGTTAAAAAAGAGTCTATTGAAAACATACTTATTAAAATATAAACTTGAAGTAATGATTTGACATAAAATAATGAACATTTGCAATTTGAATATTCAATTTATCAAAAAGTTATACATCATATCACACCACAAAAGTGGTGTGATCTTGTAAATAAAATAAAATAAAATAACGAATAAAAAAATCATTATCACTTTCATCAATTACATAACAGACACCATATTTGCCTCTAATTAATTAAATGAACTTAATCCGTTCATTAATACACATCTAATTGATAACTTTTGATCTGCGATAGTTCATTAACGACTCCGTTGCACCAATTAACTGTTCTCGCATTGCACAATGTAAACTGTAACTTATTAATAAGATTCTTAGAAATTAACAATAAAGGTTCAATGTAATAATCATATTATGTTGGATATTAGTGTTTTTCAATACAACTATATATACATAGATTTAATCTTATTGTATACTTGAATATTTTCAATATGTGGTAAAATTACTAAAAAGACTTGTATATTTTAATTATATCAAATAAAATAAATCGTTATAAGTACTTATTATGTTTTAGTGTAATATTTTTTGTTGGGTTCTATTGTGAAGAGCATTTACAAAGTGTATAAAAATGACGTATTTCGGTTATTTCCAAAGGGTGTTTTTATCTTATGAGAAGATTTTGATAGAAGAAAATACACATAAAGCCTGTCATAAATTCGTCTTGTTATGCTTTGTTGAATTTCCCCGTTTCCCTTGCGTTAGCGGTCTGTCATTTAACCAGATAGAGATTATCAATAGTGAGATTTTCTGACATTATTTTCTAGTTATGTGTATAATATCCTGTATGGCTTTATTAGGGGAAACATAATGTATAGAGTAGAAGAATGGGAGGAAAAGTCGAAAAGCCCCTCGCCCCTGCTGTTGCGGCTCAGTTACACTAACACTCGTACTCTATTCTGCTCCTTCTCATTCTCCTCCTTCCTCCTTTTCGACTAGCAGATCAAATTTTATGTGGAATCCAATTCCGATAAAAAAGAAAATTTCGCCCATTCAATCAAAATTATGAGCGCATTGAGTATTATTCCTTAATCGGTCTGTCCCATTCCCATTCTCATCCCGGGATGAAGAAGAATAAAAGAAAAAGTCTTACCCCAATTTTCTTCTGTTTGCCCCAACGACGATAAACTTGAAAGTAAAGTAATCGGAATCAATAACAATGAATGAATGCGAAGATATAACTGTAAAAATATCTTAGCATCAGTAAAAAAATATTTTTAGTAAATATCAAATGATTTAATTGTAAATTTCATATTGTATTGTATGTGTAATATACAATATCTTTTTTATGTAAAATTTTCAATACAGATTTTGAAAACTCATAGTTCGAGCATTTTCTAGTAAGTATTTTGTAATATTTTTAATTTATATATTACGTTCATATTTTTATTAAATGAATGTAATTTTTATAAATCGTAGCAAATAAAATGTTAGGTACACGTAAGATAAACAATTTTATATAAATAAAATTATTTTTTGTGTATATTTAAACTATGTAGGTTCATCGTTGAATTCCTGTTGCTAATTTAAATATCAATGAATATTTCTAAAAATTCCATTGAATATCAGTAATTTTAGCCTTAATTCCATGTTATATCACTCGATGACTATCGAATACCGTTTTTAGTTCATGCTTTATCTATCATCACTATTTAGTTCATTCAATATCAATAATGTTTATCATAACAATTTGGTTATCACCATCTTGTTCAGTTATTTTCTAAATATTTTATTTACAATTATATTAAAAGTTGTAAAAGTATCAAAACGTAAACAGCGTTGAAAATAATTATGTCTCTTTTTAATTGTCAGATTTAAGTGTGCAGTTGGTGTCCATTATATTTTATCTATTTATATCATTAAGTTCCATTAAAATAAAATAATAAATATAGACCGTCCAAATAATTGCCACTAAAAACTTGCTCAACGGACATCGACTACATCCGGTGGTTAGACTTTAAAATTGTCTTCAGGTTCAGTGACTTGTCAATTTAGTCAAATCGTTGTTTTTGGAAACAAGAAAAGATATATTAATCATAGTGTGTATAAGTATTAAGAAATTTTGTAAACTATACTAATAATAATTTTAGTAAATATATTTATTATTATATTTATGTACAATAAGATAAATTATATATCTAATTAGAATTTGTGCATATATTGTGACTATTTTTACAAAACTTCTAATTTTAAAGTAGTTTAATCCGTAATATATATATATATAATATTTCATATATAGCTTATTTACTAACTTAAAGTTCAAATTATATTAAGTAGAATTATTTTTTAAATGAATTACTGGAATGTATAATAGTAATTTTGGCAATATGTGTAATTGAACTAAATATGTGTAATAAGTTCAAACATTATTGTATTAAATGTTTATTGCGGCGGAAATGTTTGTAATGTAAAATCAATATATTTTCAATTAATTTTTTGAATGATTTATTTTGGAAGTAATTTAAGTTTTTATTTGACACGATTTTGGCAAATTTTATAAAGTTTAAAAAAAATAATTTGCATTCGTTAAAACCAGATTAAAAATTGAGATGAGAAGCAAAAATCGAGTTTTGCAAGTAACATCCTAAATGGAAGGAGTGGACAAAAAGTTGGCCGAGCTTCGAAAAGTTAATCATGGAAGTTGTCGTAATCACCGGATTCGTTGGATTCCTTCGGAGCTTTAACTTGATGCGATTGAGTTTGGAAGTGATCGATTGCGGTTGAGTATTGAGTGTGAAATACAGTGATCGGGTTTCAGTAATTGAATGTGAATTCCATATGTGTGCGTAATATAAAATTGAGGTATGGCCGATTAGTTGTGGTCAGTAGTGTAGGTAGTAGTAGTGTATGTGTGTGGCAATGCGGCGGAAAACATATTGGGGGGAAGTGGAGAGGGTGGCTATCAAGTGGCTGTCTACAGAGCATGTCGCCACCGCCACCGCATACCATTCTGATTGATAGCTTCAGCCAGCCAAAACTGATAGCCAAAAGACCACACACGTACGTATACCCACTCCCAGTCGGGGACACGCCTCCATCGCAGCAGGCACCGCCCCTATTCCTTGTCAGTAGCAACTGGCGAAGCCACACCCATCGAACCACGCCAGCCAGAGGGAGACCCCAGTTACTTCAGACCCTGAAACCAGTCAGTTCACCAGCGAACCTCCAGATCACTGGTCATTTCAAACACAATGTGTCGTTGCTAGTTTTGTAGTTATTCCAACCATCATCCAACAAGCCAGAATAGAACACAAAAACAATTGTTTCCCCTACTGGCATAAACAAATACACGCGCGCATACACATATATACATACACACTTTACCTGTGCGATAGTTTCTTGTGTTATTTTCGTATTTATTTATTTTTTTACTGATTTGAATTTGGTGCGCGAACAACCCCGAATAATCGTCCAGAATTCGCGTGTGGTTTTGTGATGCTACTTGGAGCCATGCCCGAAGAAAGTGCCGCAGCGCTTCTTGTGCCGACGGCGAAAACCCGTGCCACCGACTTCTCCATAGCCGCGATCATGGCCAGGGACACGAACTCTCCGGAGGCCTGTTCCGCTACCCCCGACGGTAAGTGAAGTCCAAGCATCAACCATCCTCCTCACCCAATCGCTCTTCATCCAAACCGCTCTCGTCGCCCCAGGTCGCCTCTCCCGCATGAGCACACCCAGCCTGGAAGTGCCAGAGGACGACGACATCGAGGTAGATGTGGAGGAGTGTTCCGACGGTGAATCCTCTTCTCCTCGACCTACCAAAATCAAACAGATCCGACGATCTCCGGTCTCTGATTGCGGTTCCGAGGCAGACAGGGACTCCCCGGACATCATCCCCGACAAATCGGCTAGCCCCAAGGTGCCGAAGATCTGCTGCAACTGCGACGAGCTGCTCAACGTGGAGTGCCACTTGGAAACCAAGGACCTCTGGGACAAATTCCACGACCTCGGCACCGAGATGATCATCACAAAAACTGGAAGGTAAGTCGAAGCAATCATCTCCGGACCATCATTTACCATCATTATTTCTATCCCGTCTTAATCAGACTGCACAATTATGGGTAGTCTGAAAAAGCGAAACAAGAGTGGAGCCGTGCATGAGTTTCGCACGAGACATTAAAATCAAATATTTCCACTGAAATTCACGGATTGAGACAAGAAGTTTCTCGAGAAAATTACCCAATTACATACTGCATAAAAACCGCATCGTCTCGACATTAATTCTGCAGAAATATACAATCTTCTTTACAAATTTCACCAAACAAACCATAATTAAGAAAAATACATAGCTTACCAACAAACAACAATTATTTCATTTTATAACCGTTATTATATAAATATATGTCCGCTATTGCTTGTTTCCTTAACTTCAGTAAAAATGAACACATCATCATTACGGAAACATATTTTCATTTTTACAACAATAAAACTAAAGATAAATAAAATTATAATCAAAAACAAATTATTACTAATATAAATGTTGGCTGCAAGAAATAAAAATATGAAAAGATAACTCAGTATGAAACATCTTGTATCAAGTATACTGCAGCATGTTGCATTAACCAGCCGTTATCGTCGTGTCCGCTTAGTAGTAAATAAATTTAAGTGAATAACTTTACTGAATTTCTTTATTTTTAAACTCAAAAATTGCCAATGTCTGTTGTTAACTTCTGTACTAATTGCAAATCGTTATTTATACCGCAAATGTAGAATGTTAGTTATTTTCATTTTATTGTAGTTCGTCACAAATGCATAATACTTGTTCCATTAATTGCTAATGTTTAGTTTCTTTATATTCAATCAAATTGAATCAATGTAATAATTTGATTACCAATTTGTGATTGGGTTGGTGAGTAATTGAAAGGCTCTGGCGTGAAATTGAGATGCTGCTTCAAATCTCCCCCAATCTCAATTTCCCTACAGTCACTTGCAGGGGTTGAGGGCCTTCATAAAATCACCTCAATAATAATATTATTACTTTGGAACACGTTGTGTGTGTATGTATGCATGTGTGATTCATTGCCGGAATGAAATGTTGTTTGTGGCAAAGTTAAACAAGCGTTTTGTGCGCGAGGCATCTCGACGATTTGCCGACTGCTGCTAATAATAATTAAAGCGTACCCAACATCAACAGCTCTCGAAAATCCGAAACCTTCGTTACATCTGTCTCGCCTTGTTTCACTCTTCACCAAATATTGAAATGAGAAATGCTAGGAAACCAACAAAAAGAAGAAACAAAAAGAAAAAATGAAAAATATTATGAGAGAGAAGAGGTAGAGAAGAAGAGTTATGCGCCTCCTCGATATATGCCCGCTGAGCTACTTATTCAAAATGTCATTCCACGTCAAGGTTTTGAATTTCGGATACAGTATTGTATTTAAAATCTCGGGTTTTAATTCGTCCTTTGTAAGGCCTTGTGGCCTGTGACCGATCTCTGTGGCCTGTGATGGATTCATACACAAAAGACGCTCGGAAACAGTTCCAACACCTCTACAATTGTAGAATATTACTTAAAAATATAATAATGGTTAATGTTACTCAGTAGTAAACTTTCCAAGTTTACATTATTATACAACGAAATAAATACATAAATGTTGATAACAATTAATTTACAAATCATTAACAATTGTTTTTAATACATGAATATTTGTTTTGAACCTGCAATATTTTTGTTAAATATATTCATATACATTTAAATAACACACATTAATTTATTGAAATAATTTTAATAAATATCGTATATACATATAATTTCTCACCGTGGTAGAATAAACATTCATAGTATTATTATTTTAATGAAGTTGTAAGAAACTCTGGAGTAAATTAACTAAACGCAAGCGAGTTCTCCACGATTATCAGTAAATTTATACATTTTTTTCTGAAAAATAAAGAGAAGCTCAGCAATTGGAAACAACACATTAAAAATTGTACAACTAAGCTGAACAAATAGAAAGGTACGATCATTATGGATCTAATTTCGATTCAATTAATTTCTTGTGTTACGACTTACGGGCTTTGTGCAAGCGAATTGGAGTTTCTTCCTCTTTAAAATGTTCCACTTTCTGATTGCGACAAAAAAATATATGCTCGTTTGCACGAATGTAACAAGCAATTTTCTCGTAAAAAATGATACAAGAATAAAAAAGTGTGATATACTAACAAAAATGGTAATAATTCCTGCGTTTCCTTTTAATAAGCTACTGTTTTAAGAAAAAGATTACCAATGTTTTTTAGTTTGTATTACTGAGTAAGATGAAGATATGAAACTGAACAAATCGTTAGTTAAATTCAAGCAATTAAGTCCCTTCAATTTCGTAATTAATAAGCTATTAATACAGGTCTTATCTAGCCGGCTTTGTTGGATAAAAAATGTGAGGACTACGGACGTCTGCGTCGGAAAAGAGCACCTGTGTGCCTGTCCACAATCAGTTCAACAAATCTGACACATGTCATAGTCGTAGTCCATTAGTGAAGTCATTGTGTTAGAAGGGAGAAAATATTCGAGGCCCGGAGCCACGTTTATGTAAAGCAGTTTCTCCGTCTCTTCATATATATAATAAATTCAAGATCTCGCAGCCAATGGGAGCAGCAACAATAATAATAACAACGATCTTAATGTTATTAACCTCGTCTCGCGCAATGCCCGATGGAGACATTGTGTATTTTCATCAAATTATTTATTAAAATATTCGCGTTTATATCTTAGCAATTTAAAATCCGCTGATGTTTCAAACTCCCCGTAATAAATTACAATTTAATGATAATTGATGCAAATAAAGAGTATAAATAAATACGAAATTCCCTTGTGCGAGTTTCAAATTTATTAAATTGTTTCTAGTCTGCACAAAACGACTGTGCGCACACGCAAATTAACAATATAAAACAGTGACATTCGTTCTCTTCAATTCGAGTTCCTCGGTTGGCGTAAACAATTTGTCGGTTCACGTTTCTGTTGTGTTAACGGATGAATACGCGATTACAATTAGCGTAAGGAAGGAATGGATGCGTTTGTGTGCGCTCTGCGTGCAGCGTTCTAACTGCGTGCATCCGTTAGGTTGGCAGCATGCAACAAAAGGGAGCTGCGGAGAAATTGCCCATTGTGAATGCGCGGCCGTCTGATAAATCGCACACGAAAATTGCACGGAACAAATGCGGCAATCGAAATCGATAGGGGATAATTGATTTCCGGAATTTATGGTTGGAACTGTGCGGAAACAGACACGAAAAGATTTACATTCAAACGTTTTTCTTTTTTTCATTGAAAATCTAAATCATCAATAGAGGACTGAAACATAGAGAGCCGTGATAAAATTTTATTGAACATTTTGTTAATTTAGATGATAGCTTAAGTTATTTTTTCATTACAACATATTTAACATATCGTTTATACACCACAAAATATTTGACAAATAATTATTTGATTTGTATCAACACAGTCTTGATAACACAGACTTAATAGCGATTATAATATAATATTAATTAGATTATGATACAAACTTAAATATCTAAAGGTTTTTTTGATAGTTTATGTCGTTAATAGATGATATTTTTTGATGATAATTGTTGTAACATTTCATGCAGTTTGTATTTATACTAAAACACGAAATGTCTCGAGATTTGTAAACTTTGGTTTAAGTGAGCGTGGGTATTCTCATGTTTCTTTTGTTTTTGTTTCTTCTTTTATTTTCTGTGCAGTGGTTAAATTTGAGGCTAATGATAGAGGGACGACACCAACGATTATTTTCTAATGACAAGCATCTGTTGTTACGGGTGTCAGTCAAATCTTCTTTTCGAACGCATCAGCGACGTTCACGCACCCAAAAAAAGAAGCAGAACGAAAATGGGCGTACGATTATTGCGGCTGCGAAAGAAAATGGGCCGAAAAACGACAGAAAAGTATGATGAGAAAAAAAAAACGAAATGACAATAAAAAAATGAGGAATGAAAGGAAACATGCGGAGGCCTGTTACACCGTGTACGTGTTTTACAAATGTCGCGGTGTTGATGATCGTATCGCGTGTTGTACGACCCAACTGTCGGGGTTATTGTAAAGTATATCGCGGCATCCGCCCGCCGGCTTTCAGTCATTATATGCCCATCGCCATTTCCATCCATCCCGGAGTTTGGTCGTGAGGTTCTCTTCGTTTGGCTTTATTGTTGACACCTCTCAAGTCATCGGAGCGAGAGCCCTTAGGGCCATTACCGTTCTTCTATTGTTTCGGTAACGCCCCAAGGCTCGACACTTTGGCCCACTGTCGCACGACTACTATTAACCATTACCTAATGTCATGTAAAATTATCTTGCTGCTGTTATTGTTGTTATTATTGCTGTGGGTCCTCGAGTCTTTAGCCTGAGGTGTGTACGCGTACGCGTGTGTGTGTATGTGTGTGGCTTTACGGCGAAGTGTCAGGCTGCATTGAAAAGGCCACCTCGTTACCGCTATTGTCCTCGCCACCAACATCTGTCCTCCCAAACAGCGTATTTGTTACATTTATAAACTTTTCAAGCACAATCAACGGCCCACGTAATATCCTGAATTATGCACGCACCGGATTTAAAATACTAAATAAGACGAGGCTTAAGAAAAAAGAAGAAAAGAAAAATAATAATAAACCAAAAGGAGTAGCCGTTTTCTCTGTCTCGCTCTTAGAAAACCGGCGAGACTAGAAGCAATTTACGATTAAGCTATTGACTCGCAGGTGGCAAACGGAGATGGGGGCTTAGATAAACTCTTAATTGCCGGATAACTCAATCACGTCCCTGCGCGATTCGATTGCAAACTTTGGAATTCCATTGCGAAAACATTTCACACCGCGTGAGCCGGAATCGACAGTTTCTGTTCGATTAATTGCGATTGCGTAACTGCGTGGAGTCGCTGACAGGTCGGGTCCACACTGTTGTTGCTGTTGTTAGGTATTAACCTAGGTTCCAGTCCTATCCTCTCATATACTGATTGCATTGCTTGTTGTTCGAAAACGTG